CACGGGTTGTTGCCCACTCTGTGCCAGGCGCTGTGCACTCTCAGGGCTCAAACGGTCATTGGGGTTCACCCGAGGCAGATATCTCTTTCACAACAATATCTTAAGGGTTCTTTAAGGACTTCATGAAAACAAAAGGATTAACTACAGATGACTAAGCCCGCATGATGGAAACGGAACCAGGTCCAGTAAATAATGACCTTAGGCAGGATTATATTCCTACAAATAACACCCCCACTCTCCTATTCTTCGTTGGCAATCCCTCTGCATTAGGGAATCAGTGGCCAAGGAAACATCTCCATGTGCCTAGGACAGTCTGGGTGGGCCCCTGGAGAAATCAGAAGAATAATTAGGACTTGCCAGGTGGAGAAAGGAGGCAGGGAACAGAGTGTACCGGGAGAGGGTGCGTGAGGTAAGCAGGCATCTGGGTGTGAGATTTAAGGAGGCACTTTCGCTCAGGGTCATACAAGAGCAGGAGTGGCACTTGCACATCCTGGAGAGTAAGTGCTCCCTTAATTTTTGCCTCCTCGATGTCCCCCATGCCTCTTCTTAGTGTTGGCCTTGGAGAAGAAAGAGTGTGGGTTTAAAAGCCTGGGAGGGTGAAATAAGCCGACATAACGATAAATGTCCAGGTCCTGCAAGATTGCTGGAGTCTAAAGGCGGGGAACAGAGACCACTCAGAGTTAGGCCACGCTAGACCATCAAAGGTCCCATGGGGCAGATGAAGGAGTTCACTGTTTGGTCTAAAAGTGACAGGGAGCCAATGAAGATTACTACTGAAGCAGAGAAAAGGGTGACCTGAGATAGGGCGAAGCCAGTTAGAAGGAAGGAAAGAACCCACTTGATGTTTTGAAAGTAGAATTGACCGTCCTTGGGGACTGATCGCAGATGGAAGGCTGTTGTCAGGGTTTCCCCAAGTCCAAGGGAAATGGCCTAATACACTCTCTGGGGTCAGGATGGTGTCTGCCCTCTGATGGCATCACTGAAGTAAACTGAGTGACTGCCAGATCCCATCCCTTTATCCTGCTCATTGGCTTCCGGTGGCTCTTAGTATGTCAACGTCCTTTCAAAGGTGGCTGCGATCAGACCAGCCTCCCGGTCTGGACCCATGAGATCCCATGGCTCTGACTTGGCCCCCATGACCTTGGTGGGGACCTGGAGAGGCACTGGGTGCCAGGCAAGGCCAGGCTGGCCTGGGGCTCCAGGAGGAGGGGGAACAGGAAGGAGCAGGTAAAGGGGGATGAGAGTCTGCTGGGAAACTGGGAAGCTTGAGCTTCCTGATGAAGAGAGCCTTCTGAGACACAGTTTGAGATGAGAGTCAGCCAGAGAGCAGGCTGGAGGGCAGTGGATCTGAGTGCAGCTCAGAAAGGCCGAGGTGGCTCTGCCAGGCGGGGAAGCACTGGCTTCCCAATGGCCAGGCCTGGGGCAGGGGAAGTGCTGAGACTGCAGGCAGCCTGGGTGGCCCACTTTGGGGCCAACTTCCTCTGACCCCAGGCACAACCACACACACTGACCTTGTGGTCCACTAAAGCCCCCAGATCCTTCTCTGTGAACCTCAGTGCAGCACGGTCTCAAGCTCCCGCACTTTTGGAAAATACCTGCTGTGCACGCATTTCCCCGCATTCTCGTAAAAAATAAAGTGGTGAAAAAGCAAATCTGAGCTCTTTGGAACATTAATTAAAGGCACCAGAGTTTCCTTATTTAACTGAGGGTTGCTGCCTCATTTGGGATTATTAGCAAAGCAAGACAGCCTTTGTTGTGCTTGACAAAGTGATTAATTCAGACGCTAGGTGAATTTTGGCTTTCTCAACATCTTTTGATGTGCGAAGATTCCCCGGTGAGGACACCACCATCAATTACTTAAACAAGCCATTACCTCCAGAGCACAATTATCAGGGAGGCCCGGTCTGCTAATTGGCAGATGGAGAGATGGAAATGAACTCCCGGGCTGGCCTGGACCCCTACCTGTCTAGGAGGAGCAAGCGTCCTTTCACTTGTCTCATGACGATGCTCCCGCTGATGGGGGCGACCTAGTTATTTTCCCGCCTCTGCAAAAATGCATCCTGGGTGGCTGTGTCTCCACAGCCCCAGAAGCTGCCTGTGGCTCTCCGGTGACAGCTTCATTCTCCAGGGCAGGGCTGTAGATCTCAGCACTGGGGGAACGCAAAAGAGATGAGGCCACAGAAGCAAAATTCTTTTTTTGAAAGGAATTTGTAAGAGAGTCTTTGACTTGCTTTTTCCCCTCTCAGGAGCCGGATTCTCCAGCTCCTGGGACAAGCAGGCTGAGGTGGGGGCTTTGGAGATGCCATGTCTGGGCTTAAATCCCCTGACACGGAAGGAATTCAAGGTCCAGACCCAAGAGGCTGCTTTTTGCTTTTAAACATATAAACCTATGAAAGGACATCATATTTAATAAAAGGGTAATATGCAAATTGACCATCACTCCAACACACAAGATGGTTACCCCTGTTTGGTCAAAGATGGCTGCCTAATGGCCAGCAGAGGAGGGCAGTTGGGAGGGACCAGGCCTGAAGTGGACCAGGCCTGCAGGGGAGGGCATTTAGGGAGGACCAAGCCAGCAGGGGAGGGAATTTGGGGGTGACCAGTCCAGCAGGGGAGGGCAGTTAGCAAGGACCAGGCCTGAAGAGGAAGGTTCTTGGGGTTGACCAGGCCTGCAGGGGAGGGCAGTTGGAGGGACTAGGCATGTAGGTGAGGGCAGTTGGGAGTGGCCAGGTCAGCAGGGGAGAGCAGTTGGGGGTACCAGACTAGCAGGGGAGGACAATTAGGTATGACCATGCTGGCAAGGGAAGGCCTAAATGGGCAGTTGGACATCTCTTAAGGGGTCCCAGGTTGGAGAGGGTGCAGGCTGGGCTGAGGGAGACATACACTACCAAACTGTGCACAAATTTTGTGCACCAGGCCTCTAGTTAAAATATATTTGTATTTAAATGCATAAATTAAAATATATTATATAATAATGCATTTAGACATACAGTATTTTATTTTAAATTTTTTTTTATGTATATATTTTTAAATGCACTAAGCCAGTATTTGGCAAACTCATTAGTCAACAGGGCCAAATATCAACAGTACAATAATTGAAATTTCTTTTGAGAGTCAAATTTTTTTTAACTTAAAATTCTTCTAATGCCACTTCTTCAAAATAGACTTGCCCAGGCTGTGGTATTTTGTGGAAGAGCCACACTCAAGGAGCCAAAGAGCCGCATGAGGCTTGCAAATTGCAGTTTGCACAGCACGGCACTAAGCCATTACTCCCCTGACCCAGAAGAGAGGTTTTGGGGGCAGGTTTGCATTTATGTATGTCACTGTTTTGTTTTGTTTTTTCTGGTGGGGATTAGGGAAGCTTATTCTAGTTAAATTCAATCAAATACTTAAAAAAAAATCTAGGAATATTTCATAATCATCAGCCACTTAACTCATTTTCTGAATAATTCAATTGCTTTGATCTATTTTTAAAATAGGAAGATGAGTTGCATGCACATTAATATTGGAAACAACTCTTTGCTCCACCTTCATCCTCCTCCTCTAATTCCCTCTGGCTCAGAAGCGAAAGGCATGTTCCCAATCTCCCTCTGTGACCAACCCTGTGACGAGTGGCAGAGACTGGGGGACAAGGCTGAGGCTAGCCTGGCCCTGGGCCTTACTCAGAGTCTCCTTCCTGCTTAACTACCCACTCCAACAGCATGGCATTGCTGCCCTTAGTCCCAGGACATATCTTCAGTTGGTTTTCTTGAGGCGGGACGGGCATTGGAAAGCACATGGGGCTTAAGGCAGAGACAGCATTTCCTCCCATACAATTGCCCCAGCTCAGCTCTGGACCACCTGGACCACCAGCCCTTTTAAGCCCTCCCCCAGACCATCAGACGGCTGCGGTGATGGGGCTGTTTATCCCTCCAGCTTCAACACCCCTGTCCTCAGTTTAGTGGTTTTTCTGGATATGGATTCACTTGGGAAGGCCCTATATTTTGAAAACGGCCTTGGGGAGAAACAATAAGCATAAAGACCACTTTCCATTTTTTTTTTTTTATTCTATAAATCCCACCCAATAGTTGGACAGAAGAAATGCTCTTAAGTGATCAAAATGCAAAGGTGCATCTCAACTGGCACATCCTCATGATGCTTCTTTGCTGCAAGGATCGTAATGTAAACACTGAATTAATTGCTTCTCATTAGCCGTTGAATGTCTGTCTGGTCCACTAGGTTCATGCCATGTCCCTGCAGCATTCCCGGCCCCCAGCGCCATGCCTGGCACGTCGGAGATGGGCAGTGAATATGTGTCGTCCCCATGGTTCTCTTCGTTGGGAACATGCCCAGGAACGTCAGCCCTAACAGTGATAAAGAAGCTCACTGTTAGGACCTCTACCCCTTCTGAGGGTAAACGCCTATCATAGTTTGGAACAAACCCAGTGTCAAAGGCAGACCAGCTCTCTTTAGTTCTGAGTAAGGAGATCCAAGACAATAGATTCATTTGATCTAATTCTCCACATGAATGCTGAAAAAGAACTGAATTGTTCTCATTCTCTGGCCCTGGTATGACTAGTAAATGATCAGCTGAGCCAGGGAGACCTCGATGGGGCACATTTTAAAACGTGGCCTGCTGGGGCCAGCCTTGGCCTGCGGACTGCCTTGTGCAGGTGAGGTCTTCACGGGCTTTTGGGATTTTCCATTGTGAGGTATTCCTTTTTCACATGCGCTTTTACTTATGGAAATGGCTTTTATTTGTGGTCATGATATAGAGTTTCCTTTGAAAACAAATGCATTTAAGTTTATTCAAAGGACATAGGAAGTAAAACAGCACATATGATTTACAGATGAGGCAAAAACTCTAAAGATGCTATCCAAACAACTGAATTTAGAAGATTAATGTCTTAATATCAATTGAGATTTATTGACTCAACTAACTCTCCTGCCCTGAAAAGTTGAGATAAAAATGGAATCGTTGACTCTGTACTGTAATGACCACCAATTAGTCAATTGTAGTATTTTCTTTATTTTTTATTTTTTATTTTTTTAGATGAAAAGACATTTTATTATTATTTTTCTATATAACATAGTAGTGAATATATCCGATTGCATTTTCTCAAATGGCAAATGAGAACAGGACAGCATTTTACTGAAAACCTCAATATCATCTGTCTTTTGGAGGATTCAATTTCCTACGACGTGTATGATACTGTCCATGAGGATACCAACGGTGCTTAGTAGTAAAGAACATTTTGCTAAGTTGTTCTATAATGGATCCTTGCTCTAAGTGTTCTTCTTTTACTTCTAATCTGGTTTTCAGTATTTGATCCTGTATTTCTTCATAATTATGCACAGGATTTGGCTGAGGGATAGGCTTGGTGTGTTCATATGGAATATCCACAGAAGGATGGTAGCAAACTATCGTCCTGCCATCAAATGTCAAAGCAAGTTCTACTTTGCAATTAGAGTCATCTGGAAGAGAAGAGTATATGGATTTATGACAAACACAGTATAAAACTCCATTTTGGATTGGAAATAAATGTTTCAAAATAGTTCTGTTGGATATCACCCATTTCACTACTGATACGGCCATGGTGAATCTATTGTAGATGCTTATCAGGTGGTATAGAAAAAGATTTGAAGAGAAAATGCTTTCAAAATTTGCTTCTAGGCATACCTTTTTTTCATCCCTTGATGTCTGCTCACCGAGAGCCCGCCATCTTGCCTCCTGTAGTATTTTCTTTAAAATACTTCTCTGTTGCCCGTTTAGATGCTAGGGCCACCAAAGCCTGGTTCAGTGGTGCTGGAGGCAGAGGCTGAAAGTCATTGGAGCTCTGGGCTGCCTCCTTCCCATCCTCCAGCAGCTGTGACATCCAGTTCTCCCTAAATAGGGAGCTCTGACAGTCCGGACCCCAGACACGTCTCCTTTATAGGCACAGTCCAAAACTCCAACATTAAGTCAGGATCTACACACAATATATGTGGATGTGGTAGAATTGGTTGGAAATGGACTACTGAAGATACGCAGAGGCAAATCCTGGAGGGCAGCTTCTCATTTGCCTGGTTTCTTCTTTTGCTCCAATCAGCTTGACCATCTCTGTAATACTCCATCCATCAAAATATTCCACAGTTTATCGTGGGTGTCTTCATTGGCTGAACAGTGGGCTGGCCACTCCTGTTGAATGCATCAAGAAAAGGCTTTGTCTTGGGGAAAGCGGAATGTTGGGAAATGTCTTGGCTTTAAAAATTGAATCTTATTTTGAAAATGAGCCATTTGTCACAATTTACTTTGAAAACTGGCAGTATAAGGTGCACCCTGGCCTTACAGGATTGGGGTCCTGTAGCAATAGATGACGGTGTTATTTGTCACAGTAAAATCAAAGGATGCTATCTGAAGCTACTACATCCACCTTCTGTTGTCATTTTCCAACCTACGTATCCTTAATGTAAGCAGTGATGCGTGTCCGTGGGCATAATTGTGGGATCCATTTGCATTCATGCCCACACGAAGGGAAGCTTTTCTAAATATCACAGCACAGTTGTGTTTTACCCGCCTTTCACAGCAGCATCCTCGGCCACCTGAACTCTTTTGATGACACAGGAATTAATGGCACATTTGGACATAAAAGAGCAAATTTCTCTCACAAGGACAATGTTTAAAAGCATCAGCAGGGTATTTAAAAAAATCCTTTTTCATTCATGGGTATTCTGGCTTATCAGTTTGCTAGGACTGCCATCACAAAGCACCACAAACTGGGCTTGAAGCACTGGCATCTGCGATCCCACAGTGCTGAAGGCTGGAAGTCTGAAATCAAGGCGGTACAGGCCACGCTCGCTCTGAAACCTGAAGGGGAGAATCCTTCCTGCCTCTTCTTAGCTTCCAGGGGTTTGCTGATGGCCTTTGGCAGTCCCTGGCTTGCCGCTGCATAACGTCAATCCCTGCCGCGGACATCCCCTGGCATTCTCCCGGTGTCCTCATTCACGGGGCCGTCCTCTTATAAGGAGTCAAATGGATTACAGGTTCACTCTACTTTGGTACGACCTCATTTTAAATAATTAAATTTGCAACACCCTATCTCCAAATAAGGCTGTATTCTGAGGTACTGGGAAGGGCGAATTCAACTTATCTTTTTTGGAGTGAACAATTCAACCTCTGACTCCTGAAGCCCATTGATTCTGGGTTAAGAGCCTGTTGGGAGAGACAGAGGGGATCCGGGGACCAGGAAATATGAAGCAAGGGTGCGGAGAAGGAAGGGGGAGGGAGACAAATGAAACCCTCTTTGCAATTTTGCTCAGTGGTCTGGTGGCAGCCACCTCTCCCTGCTGATTTTGGTACAAGGAGTCTAGCTACTGATGGCAGCATTTGGCCATGCCTAGCCGAAGACCCTTCAGATCTACACTGGAGTCTAGGCTGCAAGTGGAGTTGATGGCTGTGACCAGAACATTCTCTGCTGATGCCAGCTCTTTGAAAATGTCTGAATTTTGTGCAGGGACACACAAGCGGTATGTTCATAAGTGGAGTTACATAATTAGGACATGGACTTGCATAATAATTAGCATGTGTAATTAGGCACAGGCTTCTTGTCCTTTAATTAGACAATCAAGACATCTAATTACAAAATTAAGATGTAATTATGTGGCCCAAGATGACATATTTCCTTCTGCCCATTAGAGATTATATTTAGAAAATAATTCACAAAAACTGATGAAGACACAAACCTAGGAGCCAGATTTGAGATCCCGAGGGAAGCATTAAGGGGACCGGTATGCCACCTTTGCCCTTTCCCCTTAGGTGTGTGGGGAGTTATTGAAACTATCATCTCTGACTTGAAAGAATAACTGTTGCAGCCTGTGCTGTCAACCTTTGGTACACGCTAATGAAGAGGAATGTGGGCGTGACTAATCCATGTAATTCGCACATGGCTCTTGATTGTGGTTTGTAATTACACTTGAACAGGGACTGAAATGTGAGGTCGTGGGGATTCATTCAAACCCGATAATGCAGCCATATGGTGGCAACCTGGGTCAGGAGAGCTGGAAGCAGAACCCTCTTCCTACTCTGCCTCTTTAAAAGCATACTCAGCCCGGCTGGTGTGGCTCAGCAGTTGAGTGTCAACCTATGAACCAGGAGGTCATGGTTCGATTCCCAGTCAGGGCACATACCCAGGTTGTGGGCTTGATCCCCAGTGTGGGGCATGCAGGAGGCAGCAAGTCAGTAATTCTCTCTCGTTATTGATGTTTCTTTCTCTTTCTCCCTCTCCCTTCATCTCAGAAATCAATAAAAATATGTGGCCATTTTTTTGTTTTGTTTTGTTTTGTTTTTTGTTTTTTTAAAGCAGTCTCCTTGCTCAGAATAACACAAATCAACCCTTAAGCTGGGCTGGCCTTTGCTTGAATATCTGAGTGTTTGATGAAAAGTTCTTATTTGAAGTGCTCCTCACTGGGCTAAGTGGGAAGGTCAAAGACTCTAGCAAACATTCCATTTTTCTAATAATACGTGAGTGATTCTTACAGCAGTGAGTTTATTTATTTTTTTCTTTTAAAGTTCCAGGTCTGCTATGAAGCCCAGCTGTAGTGATCCTCCATAGTTTTCCTTGCTCCTAAATTAAGCTTTGGCTGATCTCTGCATGATGCTAAACACCCAGTTTGACTCATTAATTTTTCCGAACTAACTGAACTTTTGACCTAATTAGCTGGCTGATCAGGGATCACAGCCATATGTCCAGGGTTTTCAAAACCAGCGCTGCCTTTCCCGGCGCTATCCCTCTGTTCCCATAAACTGTTGAAACATCCCAGTAACTCCAATGTTTTGACAGCCACATGCACTTCTCAGACTGCCGCTCTCTCCTGGAAAGTGGCATAGAAATCTGTCAGGCGGCATTTCCTGATTTTTGGTTAGGAAAATGTTTCCCATATGGCTTCAGGCCGTGAAAACAAAGACATGAAGAGGTTGTTCGTGGTTGGTGAAGAGGTCTCGTCTCCATGGGGTGTTCCTCCCGCCCCTATTTTTTTATTTTTAGGGACGGAGAGAACACTCTGTCCCTAAAAATGTGCTGTGGGACAAATTACATGCAGGGATCAGTTTTGACCATGAAAATAGACACATTTGCACAGGGAACTTATTTTCACCATTGTGCCTTTTTGCCCGTTGCCTTCTGAAACAATTGTTCATGGTAGATTTAGAGGCGAAGGGAGAGATGTGTTTCAAAGAACAACGTATTGATGGCCATTTTAGGTGGGGAAGGGCATGTGGACATCACCTCTCAGGGGTCACTCAATCCGGAGTAATTTACTGGGTTCCATGCCACTCACTCCCCTGAAGAGGCCTCTACCTCTTTAATCCTTAGGCATTGTCACTGGAAACTTCTTTTCCTACCACCACTTCCAGAGGACTCAATCATTCTGACACCTTGTAAGCCAAAAGCATGAATGCCAACTTCAGTTTCTCTGGTTTTCAATTTGCTTTTCCCCTTAGGTACTCCACTTCGGCGTTTTCAAGACTGGAGCAGCTGGGCATCAGACATCCCAAGCCTTCTCCTTTTATTGGAAACCTGACATTTTTCCGCCAGGTAAGGGCTGCTGTCCATGCCTTGCAGTGTAAGACACGCTGAGCCCAGTGCAGCTTTACCCCGAAACACCGCTCCTGTCTAGGTCACTCACACCTGGAGCGGTTGGCATGGGACGATGCTATGTGATGACAATGACCTATTGCTTATCACTCATCAATATGCACTGAGTCCTGTCATCCATTCACCCCTTCCCCCCCCCCCCCCCCCCCCCCGCAAAACCCCAGTTACTTAGTGTCTAAATGTGCCAGCCCTGTAGCGTGGAAGAAGTAGAAGTTACTTATGCCCTCAAGGGCGCATACCAAATAGTGGTGGACAGCACCAGATCAGAACTATCCTAGCACTAGATGAGGTAGCTGTCCTTCAGAGCAGAGGGAGATCCATCCTGGAGGACTTCATGGAGAAAGGGGTCTTGCAGGAGCAATGAACACAAAGACAAGGACACACAAGCCAGAGGCGGAGCGACAATGTCTGTGATGCACCTGCCTGAGAACGAGGACACAACTTGGTGGGCAGCCTGGAAGCCAAAGACTGGGGACCCCCGAGGAATGCAGCTGTGAGAGGGAGGGAGGGAAGGGAAGGTGGAACAATTCCCTGACAGCCCAGAAAGGCAAGTGAAGGACCATTCATGTGCTCTCCTTTGTGAGTAAGAGAGGGACAGCAACGTGGGTGATTACTGTGCAGGGGAGAGAATTTAGGTCAGGTCTGTAGGATCTGACTGTTGTTAAAGTCTAGATGTGAAGTGAAGACTTGGCCCAGGGAGCTAATAACAGTGAAAAGAGAGGGGTTGTTGGGGACATTAGTACCTCATGAGACTAATTAGATGTAGAGAACTCAAAGCAAGATGAGTCAAATGTGCCTGCAATTTTAGAGCAGGGAAATGGGGGGGATGGCCATGAGTTGCTGGAAGGGAAGCTGGTTCAGCGAGAGGCCTTTGACTTGTCAGAGTGACTGATTAGCAAGTGGAAATGTCTGCGTTTATAGATATAGGCCCAGGGCTATATGCTCTAAACTCTGTGTTCCCTCACATGGCGTGTTCTCGGAAGG